AAACTACCAGATAACTTCTTAAAGGGGGCATTGCTTCATCTACTAAGATTGAGCATCAAGATAGTTTTTTGCAGGCTGATAGAGATAGACTACAACAGAATTTGCATGACGTAGCATGAACATTAAATTAAAGGTCTTTTAAATCAAACAGACTGCCTTATCAGTCTCTGCATGGGATTTAAAACAGACGCTGTAGCAGAGAGAAACACATGTCCACGTTAAGCAGTTTCACTGATCAAGCTGATATGAGCTATGAGAACCGAGCTGGAACTTATCCCCTCCTAGAGGTGCTGCTGCAACCTGTCAGGAACTATACTTACTCAGTCTTTTCATGTTGTCATTAAAACTATCAATGTGTGATGCTGCTTTCATGAAGAAGGTAACTAGCAATGATCAGACAACATGTAATTTGTTGGGATGTGGATGTTTTGGAAACAGATGATATAAATTGTTTTGCATTTCTTTGGTTTTGCGATCTGTGTTGGGACCATCTCTGCTAAGAGAAGAATGAAGAAGAAAGAAATCGAAAGCAAAGAGCAGAGGAGTGACTGATTGCAGGGCACACAACCAAATGGGAACCAGAGACTGTGAGTTGTCAGCGCTGCTACAGATTTATACTTTACCTGCTACCCTGGGATCTGCCACACATACACCTGGTCAGAACAGAACAAAAGAGGGGGGGAGATGTGAAAAGGTTTGTGCACCGAGTCAGAGGTCAAATGGTGTGATAGGATTAGTAATAGATGCCTACAAAGATGATAAGAGATGGAGAGGGCTGGCTCCGGGGCAAAAACAGCAACTTCAGCTGGGTCTTATTTAGATCAGCCTTTTGTACTCTGGAGCCCTGTGCGCCCGCCTGTGCATCTGCCCTCCGCATGTTGGACAGCACTGGGTGGGTTTTTCTGCCTTTTCTGCCCTTTACTCACACACTGCCCTATTTCTTTCTCCAGAGTGTAAGAGCTGAAACTGTCTTTTCAAGGAGGGTATTTATTCTTTTTTTCTGATTTAAAAATGACTTAAATCAGTTAATGATGACTTCCTATTGAATTTGATTCTGAAATTAAAACCGATAGTGAAATAAAGGTATAATAATGCATAATATGGGACAAAGATATTAGAAGCACCCTGTTCAATTAGTTAGAGTTATAGACTCTGAAGGCTGATCCTGAACATCAGGAAGGCAAAAGTTATCCAGCATCTGCAACGAGCTCATTTCCCCTTTCATTATTAAAGTTTCGTCACAGCTTAAACTAAAGAAATACTGAGTCATTGAAGGAAAACTCACAAAAAAGTGTTTAAGAGGCAAAATATTAACCAAACTGGGCATTCTCAAAGCAACACTTTCCATTTGCTGAACAGGACAAATATTTGGATTTCCAACCTACAGCAGATGCATCAGAACTCTTGAGTACCACACAAACATGCAAACATACTCAACTACTTAGTGTTGGATTGGATCTCTAGAAAGCCTTTACTGTCCTTGTTCTCTGCGAAATACAACAAATTTAGGAGTGCAACTCCCAAATGGTGCATTAAAGCACCAGCAACTGTGAAACACTAACAATAACTTCCCATGTCTAATCAACACACACACAACATATCCTGCTGATATTCTGCTGGTCGCATCACAGCCCTCGGGTTTGAAGACTTAAAGCTCTGATCTTATTAATGTGGTCTGGCTCGCCACAGGCAGCTTGTGGACAGCAGTATATGAAACCACTGAGTGTAACTGACAGACACAGATGACAGAACATGCCCAGTCTACAAGTTAACACACCGCAGAGCTCCTAACTGTTACTTTGACTCAGGTCTGGTCTGAATTAGATCCTCTCATCCCTTCTGCAGACCGCATACCCTGATTTAACCCCAACACCTGGATAAACCTCAACTGGTCATTTCTGAATCCCAGAATTGGTGCCTTTTTATTGGCTTGTTGGTCAGCTGGTCTCTGCTCTTTATCTCTTCTATGCTCTCTTATATTCATCACTGAGTTAAGAGGAGATGCAAATGGGCATATCCCACCTGTACAGAGTTAGCTCTTGGGGGGCCTGCAGACAAGACTTTTCCTGAACACATCTGCAAAATCTTTATGGATATGTCAAATAAATTTTTAACATTCGACCCACTTAAAGACTGCTAAATGGTTGCTCATATTAATTGTGACCAACGTTTCTAACAAAGAGATCAGGTCATCTAAGACGCACAGCTTTGACTATGCGCTAACAGCTTGCTCACCCATTTGGTGTTTAAACCTTCTGTTTGTGAAGGGCAGCCAATTAGAAGAAGGATGGGTTAAAGGGAGAGCATTTTTCAAATTGTGGGTCAACTGAGGACCTCTACCAAGTCCCAATTTAAGATAAATAGGAATTACTGTGAACTCTGAATCATTCAGAGCTGTTCTAATAGAGTCCAGGAATAAAAAAAGAAAAAGAATGGCGCACCTTTTAAAGACCGACTGATCTGACTACGTAATGTTTTATCTGCAGGGAATGGTGGAAGTATAATGCATAAAAGCTATGGCAAGACAAGAACAGGTGGCAGGTGTATGTGTGTTTGTGTGTGTGGTCAGATCTTGGCAGTCAGTCACTGGTGGTGAGCTATGAGGCTTAACTGGCTTTATCTTAGATGGTACTGAAAGGCCACACTGGCTGCCAGACGTTATGAAGGTATAACTGCTTGAGAAGAAGTATATCCAGATGTGTGCTGGTGTGCACGCTAATGGCCCTCAGTTACTCTCAGATTAGCGAACACA